ATTTTGGTAAGGCTCACTTGTATTTAGAAGTGGATACGAAAACGAAATTTTGGTTATTTCTAATTATAATACGATTACTCAGGTAACTACTCGTACTAGATATTTGTATTCATATAGCTAAGAAAATAGTTTTTATTACTGCTTACTAACATTTATTGTTCTCTCTCTCGTTCTCATCTTTTTTTCCTTCCACTTTATATATATATGCTATGACCCCTTCATCATCTTCTCAGAAGTTTTCGGAATTGGAGCGGACACACGTTATTCGTTTCGGCCGAATCATCGTAATCTGTCAGGTCTAGAACCGGTCCATTTCTATAAGACCTATGTCTTGGCGATATAATATGGATAGTTTTCATACTGCTTGAACTATAGAATTCCGCGTAGCAATTCATTGTCTACCTCAGAGACTCATTCACTACTTTATATAAGGATTCGCAGATATCAGCCAGCACTTCTAATTCTTCAAGCTCCCATCACCATGCTTCAATGTTTCGTGCTGTATATTTCAAATAAGTCGTCTTGGCAATGCGAAAGGATGTTAAATTTTTATTGCGCCAGCGCGCATTCATAGTCATCCAATGTAGACTTCATATTTAACATTTTCACGCGTGTAAAGTTTCTGTCTCAAGTAAGCGAATTTAACATGTCTTTTTTTCATCAAACCCTTGACGCGATGGCCATCTTATATCCTCGTTTGACACGGTTCATGGCGGTTCAGCGGAAACATTGTTTCGAGTAGTATCTTCGACTGTACCTCTTGTATAATAACACATACATCACATTGACTAACAATCCAATATATATCTCACACAAGCGGTCTCAATTCTGCCTTTTTTTTTTCTTTCAAAAAATGATCAAGTGAATCGACAACCTCCCAAGCGAACAAATCACTTGAGTGATCCTCCCCTCTCCCTCTTCCGCCAACTTGGGACCAAAACAAATAATCCCCAGTTTCCTCTCTTTCTTGCTAAACTTCAAACTCCATAATTCCTCGAACAAAAATCAAGCTTTACTCCTTCAGCACAGAAAGAAAAATCGATTGCTCAAGAATTTCAGAGATACCCCGCCTCTACTGAGTTTTCTTACTAGATATCTCGGGACCCGATGTAGTATTCTCAATCACGCTATCATGAGCCCCTATTACCGGTGTTCATATACTCTACTTGGGGGTGTTGGTATCGATATCCACAGATTGGAAGAAAAGGTAAGAGAAGAGAGAAAAGAAAAGAGAAGGGACGGAATTGGGAACACAACATTACTTTTAAAGTCACACGATTTCTGAATAGGATTTAGATTTAGATTTTTATTCAAAATCAGAATTGCCGGATGGTGATATGGGAAAATATAACACATGGGCAGGAACTGGGATGGATATCATATCTTTTTTGTAGCATTTTCATATGTGAAGTATGCGAAGTCTTGTATGTCAATTCTCTTATTCTCTTTTTTGTATCTTATATCATAATCTTACACCAAATACAATATTATATACATTTCACAAAGAACATATACCAGCAATACCCAGAGATCATCACGCAAACCAATTCGGATTCCAAATCAAGAAATTAATGAGATAAGTAACCTATGAATATCAAAAATAGTCTCCTGTTATTTTCCTTTCTCTTTCCTTCTCCCTGACTGCAAATTCAGATGTGTCTCGCAGTTAAACCGTTATCAATCGCATCCAAAGCTCGCTACCACCCATTAATCCATACTTGCAAACTTGAATTCGAACTCGACTAAGACCCATCCTCATCCCCAGCGCGATCAATAGCAAATTGCTTATTTTCTTTATTTTTCGCATCGATGAAGTTGGTGATGTGTCGGGGGACCTATTTTGAGAGGATTTGTTAGCTTTATTTTTTTCTTCTTCTCGCTTGTTTGTTTGTTCCTCAACTCCTTCTCCGGTGTAACTTGGATTTTTCGCTTCTCCATCTCTCGTTTGTATTCTCTGTCGACTATTGTATTGACTACTTCTCTGTCTCTTTTTACCCTCTCGCCCCCCCTTCAGATAAAAAATCGCAAAGGAATAGACTCTCCTACCTCGCGAATCTCGCAATCCTCACCCCGAATCGGTGTCCCGTACACAGTATGTACAGGTACCACGCCGGTCCATACACGATTTTTCAATTCTGCATCTTTGAGATCGTGGCGGTCGTCGTGGGGCGGACCGCGACGGATTTTGGCCGAGGCGGTGTGGGGGGTTATGCGGAGGATCTGGGGGTTGGGTTGTTAGGAGTTGTTTGGGGAGTAGAGGGGGAGAAGTGAAGTGAAGAAGAGGAAGAAAAGTAAACGAACTTGAGTAGTAGTCATTTCTGTTTTTGTAGGAGGAACACGAGTGTTTTCCCATCGATCGGGGAGGACGGTGTTGGTTATCTTTTCCATTGCCCACTAGATTTTTGGAAATGTGTTAGTTGTGGGAATAGGCACCGGAGAGTAGAGAGTTAGATTGATTGGGAGGAGAGGGAAAGTTTAGCGAGATTTGTGGGATAATGCGATGGATGAATGAAGAGAGATATGAATGAACGAGAGAACAAGAGATGAGAGATGGGGGGAGGGGGGACATCCATACCAATTTCTCATCTACGTCCTCGACTACTTGACCATAGCCTTGTAAGATTGCACTGCGGTAATTGTAGCCTGTGGATTTATTAGTCTTTATCCCCCCAAATTACTTCTTCCATCTTTCTTTTCTCGTTCTCTCCTCGTTCTATTTTCCTCTCTCCATTTCTCCCCCTATAAAACATATTCCCCATCCCCTACAGTCCTCTTCATCATCTTCTCCCAGACAATCACAGCTCCCTCTTATCTTCCCAAAGAAATACAAAACTCACTGTGATTATTCGGCGTAAGCGCCAAAACCAACCCATCCAAACAACTCGCCGCAACCGTCATCGGCAATCCCTGTTCCCCCTCACTTCTCTCCCCTTCCTCCGAAGCCTTCTTCCCCATCCTCATCAACCGACTACTCACATATCCATGCAGATACAAATTCGCCCCTTCGCTAATATTCTCCTCCGTGGGGTTTTGCGGATCGTAGAGCCCCATAAATCCTAGCATGGGGAGGATGGCGGGGAAGGGATCTTCGGGCGAGGGGGTGTGAACTTTGTGGAAGAGTATTAGTGAGGAGTGGAGTAAGAGAGGAGCTTAAAGAGGGGAAGGATTTGACAGGATGGTCATAGGTGGAAAATAGGAGGAAAAGACAATTATCCTCCCCCGGAACCAAAACCAACAAAAAGTTAAGGCGCAAGAACAACCCCCAAAAAACACAAATCACACAAACAATCCCAACTTAAAAGAGAAGCAGATTCCCTCCTCAAACTCAAACTCACAAGAAACATGTAAAATAGGCGAACTATTAACAATAGTATGAATGGTATGATGATCGTATTTTGCTATTGCGAGTGCGTCAGTGAAATTCATAGTACGTGTGTATATATGCATGATATGAAGGCACGAGACAATGGTCTTGGAAGTTTGAAGGAACAAGAAAAGGAGAACCAAGCAAGCAAGCAAGCAAGCAAATCAAAAATCCCCGATTCGCTCAGGAAGAGAAAAAGGATTGAAGGAATAGAAAGAATCAAAAAGAGGGCATAAACAATAACCCCCAAACAATCCCTAAGCCAAACCCCAAGTCCCAAATCCCACGTCCCCAAAATCCGCCCCGAAATCTCAAAATCTCAATGGCCCTCTCCAAACTTCCCTCCCCCCCTCTCAAAACACCACCAAAAAAAACAACAATGCAAAAACCAAAAATCAAAAATCAAAAACAAACAAACATACCCCGCGGCCTATACCTCTGCACCGTATTCCTGGGCGTCTTTGGATACATTGTGATTTCCGCTTCTGAATTCGCCATATCTTCGTCTGAGATCTTTGGAATCTGGAAATAAAAACACGAATTCGAATTTCTTGATGAAGGCTCGCTGGTTCGTTATTTCCTTTTTAAGAAATTTAGAATTTTAGAAGTTTAGAATTCCAATCCTCGGATATATCGACTCTCTCGTTTCTGAGTACACACGTACGGAGGAAATGTAAAAACAAATGTAAAGAAATAATCAACTTCTCCCAAATCCTGCGTTGTATCAAATCTCAAATCTCGAATCTCAAATTTCAAATCTCAATTCCCACCTCTATATATACCCCTTCTCCCTTCCCCCTTCCCCCCATTCCATCCCATCCCATCCCATCCCATCCAATCCCCTCTCCCCATACCAAATCTCTGACTCAACCCCCATCCCCCTCCCATCCACAACCCCATAAGCCCAAATCACGTGTGCGGGGAGCTAATTAACCAATGCAGAAAGTCCACGCGAAACCCGGCAAGAGTTTGCGATTCCTCACGCGACGCGGAGTTTCATTCCCAATAAGATGGTCATGATTACAGATGCATCTATGTCACTCGCTACCTACCTAGGTAATCATAATTATAAGCTCCATATCTCTCTCTACCATATAAGGATATCAATTATGCAATAAGACGATACGGCGTTGCCGATATGATGATCTTGGATGCGTGTAATGCGAACTTGAACTTATTGATCGCAATGAGTTTCCTTCGTTATGTATATATGTAGATGCATACTCTATGCGTACGCGAATTAAATTGTGATATTTTATTATAGCTAGCTGAAGGATCTTGTATCTAGCTAGCTAGTTCGGCTCAGCGATGCTAAGTTGAGCCCTGCAGCAGCAATTGCATACGAGACTGTATCGAAGCAGAGCCAAGCCAAGCAAAATGGAGATCCTTATAGTATCATATCATATCATACTTAGGTATCAACATGAAGAAGAAAAAAGCAATATTGGGTATCAAACCATGTGAGATCCAGACTCCCGATAGTCCCATTCCATTCCACCCCAACCCATCCACCCATATCATATCATATCATATCATATCAAATCAAATCCCACACGAACGAATTCAAAGAATCGTTTTACATTACACCGTCGTTAGCTTCCTTGCCGTTTTTTTTCCCATACTCCCAAACTTTCGCCTACGATTCCATGTCCCAATCCCAAACATAAAATGTCCAGGAATGCTCCTCCCCTTGAAACTCCCCTTCATCATGTGCAGAATCTAAACTTGCCTGCAATTCCCTTGCAAAGCCCCAGATTTCATCTAGAGTGTACCTACCACCATGTAAATCTTTCTGTAAACGACCCCAAAACTCTTCATCATTTAAGCCTTGCTCTTCTTCGTATCTATACCTTTCTTTGAAATGGTCATAGAATCTCTGTTTTTCATCATCAGGAATATCGCCAAATTTGGCTTCTCTTCGAGGTTGAGCAGAGACTGGATTTCTATAAAAATATTTAGAGCAGTAGAATGGAGTATGAGGGAATCTTAAATTACCTGTTGGCACCTCGAGGAGGGTCATAGTTGTCCGAGAATGGATCATTCCGGTCCTCGTTATTGTTTTGACTTCCTTGTGACGAGGCAGCGGAACGTTCTCGTTCTACTTGTGGTATCTGTTGCACCGGCCTTCTCGATCTCTTCTTATTTTCCGCTTCCAGCTCTAGTCTGATTCTTTCAGCTTGTGGGAGTTTTCGGTATGCAATTCTCTCCATTTCAAGTTCGATCAGACTAGCTTTCTTTGGACTGGCCATTATGGTTTTCTGCTGGGATGAGTTGAATTCTCTTGTTTTTCGCTCTTGCTCCATTCTCTCGGTTTCCAACTTGGCGTCTTCTTCTTCCCGCATACGCCTGATTTCCTGGGTCAATGCAAGACGTTTCTCAATTTCCTCCTCTCTACGGAGCTCAGCAATCTTCATTTGACATCTTTGCAACAATACATTTCGCAAATGAGGGCGAAGCTCCTTCAATGGTTGTTTCGTCTGGCCGCAATTCTTAGGCTGCACCTCCTGCTTCTGTTCTTCGAGTTTATCGAAAAGTTTGAGGATTACTCTAGTGATCCGAATCACAGTTGATAAAGCATCGATTGACAACAGCTGAAGGTTTCCATATGTAAGAATTGCGGTTTTCAAGACACTTAAAAATTCCCGAATGAGAACAATGTATATATCTTCCAGATATCTACGTCTCTTTCTCTCATCAGGCTTGGGGGCGTCATTCTTCAAGGGCTGTAACTTATTGTCTACCCTTTTATCCAAACGATCAATGATTTGCTCGATATGCGAATTAGCTTCGATTTGCTTGGCGTCGTTCTCCTCCTTTATTGCTCCTTTGAGGATTCGATAGAGTTTTTGGAGAACTTTCAAATTTCGTTCCATATTCTTTCCAGACTCTGTTGCAAGGCCACGCTTCTCCAAAACTACTGGTATCCATGTACCCCTAGTCTCTCTACAGCCAAGTCGTTTTGATATTTTTTCAATATCCGGAAAAAAAGTACGGGTAACGATTCCAGTCCATGTGACAAGTTGTTGGGAAATTTCTTGATAACTTTCTTCCTCGCCATCGGATTCATCATCAACTTCTTCTCCAGCCGCTTCACGTTGTTTTGGAACACTGGCAGCGGTCGCTACATTAGGTTCTTCTCCAACATCATTGGCCACTGCTCCCGGTTCCTCTCCACCTTCTTCGTCTTCTCCAAGCTCCTCCTCATCTTCTCCGATTTGCTCTTCTCTGCCGCTCAATTGGCGTGAAGTCTGATTCCTGTTTTTATGGCCACCATTTGCATGGTTGCTACTGATTGTCCTCGCAAGATTCGCGCTTTTTTTATGCTGTTCTCGCGAAATTTGACCTTGCGACTTTGCCGGGGTTAGAGGCATAGCTATTTCTGTTATTCCATCGCCTCCGTCGTCTTCGTCGTCTTCATTTTCTCCATCGTCTACATGCTCTCTGTCGTCTCTCGATTTCCGAACACTTGCACGTCTGTCGTTGAAGGAGGCACCTCCGTCAGGTTGTCCAGGTTCTCGGTCAAATGTGGAGTTACCATTTCCAATATCTGCCAAGTCAGGCAAATCCTCATCAAAATCTCCAGACTTATCAACAACGCTCGTATCAGGCTGATCCCGAACTTTTTTGGGCTTCACACTATACTGCTTGGGTTTCGGGGTGCCCTTCACCGATAAACTTTTACTCGCTCGCTTGGAACGCGCGGGTCGGATATCTTGCTCATCTTCCTCGACATTGAAGTCATAGATACTTGCATCATCTCGTTTGCGCTTTTGCGGAGAAGCACTTTGAAGTTGTGATACGTCTTGCGCGTCTCCCTTTTCTTTTTCCTTTGTTATTTGTTCTTTCCTGGGACGGCCCCTCTTTTTTTTCTCAGCTGGTGATGCTGGCTGAGCATTTTCAAGTTCCTTCGTCATATCTTCCGGCTCCAACCCGGATGGATCCTCATTATTCTCATTTAATTGCTTGTTCAGTGCATCTTCCACATCCTCGTCTGATTCCGGTGCTACCTGTACAGGTTGTCGAGGCTGCCTAGCGGATGGAGCATATTTTCTTGCGACTTTCATATCTACTTTTGGCGGTGGTCGATGAATTTTATTGAGAAAGTCTGCCGATGAGGCATCATCTGCTAGTGCTGCCATTGAAAACAAGATTAGATCTAAGTACATTTGTGCAAACAATGATGAATGCACTTACGAGCTCCTGATCGCGTCGATTTTGAAACACCACCCTTCGCCTCTGCTAATACCAGGTAGTCAGATATCAGATATAGTCGCGTACTTATTATCAAATGCACTTACCAGCTTCTTGACGTCTAGTTTTTGGCATGGTTCCGAAACTCCCTTGTGAAAATAATTGATTGACCTTAATTGCGGGAATATTTGTAGTTTAGATCTTGAGAGTGTGGTGGTACGAGTCGAGAGACTTGCTCTCAATGAGCTGTATTCGAAATTATTATAGAAAATCCATTCAAGTAGATGGATCAATCGTGACTTGTCGCGGCGCATTCATGATGAAGTATTGAACAAAAGATATGGAAAATCTGATAAGCAACCGCAGGGCAACAATAAATCATGCCTGCAATCTGGACCAATCAAAGAGCTCAAGATAGACAGGGATATAGCTCTTTGATTGATATCATAATGCTTACCCCATGAAAAAGGATATCAAACAGAAACGCCTCGAATTTATATCTTCACCACGTTGACCCTTGCCACGGAGCAAAATTGAAGATGACTTCACAGCAAATACCAAACTCAACTTCAGAGACTTCTTTATCTCGAAGTTTACCGATTCTAGATTCATCACAACCACATACTTTTATAAAGCCTGTAAAGAGAATTCATGAAGGTCACGATGTGCCCCACTTCCTCACATCAAAGGCCTATGCCGATATTGGTGTGTTTATCATGCAACTCAATATTGCTATGTGTCCTAGGAAACCATCTGAAATAGGTGGAAACCCTCAGACGTGGACACTCGATTCTCCCTTGGAGTTATCAGAACCCGTGAGGAAATTACAAGAATTACTGCAAAATATTGATGCTATCATTGATGAAGCACCACCTGATACAGGACCAAGAAGATTTGGAAATGTTAGCTTTCGAAAGTGGTACAATTTACTGGAGACGAGAGCGAAGGACTTGCTGAAGCAGTATTTACCGGCCGAGGTACTCCATTTTGGAGGTAGTTCTCCACAGGATGAAGTATCGGCTTTGGATGAACTTACTTCTTATCTACTGGGTGGATTTGGAAGTGCGCAGAGACTGGATTATGGAACGGGTCATGAACTTAGCTTCTTAGCTTTCTTGGGATGTATTTGGAAGTTGGGTGGCTTCACGAAAGCATCTTCAAATGGAGGCGAGTTAGAAAGAAGTATTGTTATGGGTATTATAGAGCCGTATGTTTTTTCCTCGTTTCTATCAAGGAAACATGCTAATATAACCATTAGTTACTTACGTGTAATCCGTCGTCTTATTCTCACATATACTTTAGAGCCAGCTGGATCTCATGGTGTTTGGGGATTAGATGATCATTCATTTTTACCATACATCTTTGGATCTTCCCAATATTGCCCAGCTATTACCAATGATGAAGCCATGCCAGTTGAAGGATCTTTACCAGAATCTCCAAACCCAGGAGACGTAGCTAAGAAAATGACTGTTGATCGAGAAAGAAAGAACAATATGTACTTCTCTGCCATTGGTTTCATCAATGATGTAAAGACTGGCGCATTTTGGGAACATAGCCCAATACTTTTTGATATATCCGGGGTACGATCAGGATGGGGAAAGATAAATAAGGTCAGTACGAATTCTTGATATCTCCAACCATTTTAACGTGTTTTAGGGCATGATCAAAATGTATAATGCAGAAGTACTATCTAAATTTCCAGTGGTACAACATTTCCCATTCGGATCATTATTTAGTTGGGATCAAGACCCTCATGCTGTATCCGCGCCTCAAACAGTACACACAGCAAATCAACCTCACCCAACAGGTTTGGGCGGAACACCAACCACCCGACCACCCGCACAAGAAGGTACAAGAGCACCATGGGCTACCTCTTCACAATCTCAAGGTATGTCACCTACAGCTGCGCCCTGGACAAATCCAGGAGCAGCTACCGGTATGTCTTCAACAAGACGAATGATACCTCCTACATCTGCAACAACTTTCACAAGATCAACACCTCCCTCGGGATCACTCCCTCCAACGACAAGACCATCGTTTCCAAACAACGATGTACCAACATCATCAAACGCACCACATCCAGATAATGGACCAACACGTGCACCATGGGCAAAATAAATAAGGAGAAGACGTTTTGCTGATCCTGGTGATCCAAAGAAGAAGAAAGGGGGTACAATAAGTATAGTTCAATACGTACGAATACAAATATACATAAATACCTAGCATAAAAACCCCTTCAGGAGTTTCAACTAGGTATTAGTTAGCTAGCTAGCTATACATAGAATTATGCAATAAAGGCTCACGTTATTTATTGATGATTCGCTTTCAATACACAGTTCTGTACGAAGCACGAAGCACGAAACACGATTCAATGAATCATTTCTTTCATTTACGGTATTATTCATCCGTTTGTTGATTTGATTTATATTTATGTGGGAATACATACATACGTACGATACATGTCAAACTATTAAAATGTGATGGAGCCATTAGTTGATTAGTTGATTAGTACCTAACCTAACCTAACTTATTATGTACAGAGTATGTGCATTGTGCGCATCATCCCGTGTAGTAGTGTAGTGTAGTACGGTAGTGTGTGTTACAGTCAATGTTAATGTTAATGTTAATAATGTCAGTCTGGTCTGACAAATTGATTGATTGATTGATAGATAGCCTCGGTAGCTTGTTTATTTTTATCTTTATTTTTATTTTTATTTTTATTTTTATTTTTATTTTTATTTTTATTTTTATTTTTATTTTTATTTTTATTTTTATTTTTATTTTTATTTTTATTTTTATTTTTATTTTTATTTTTATTTTTATTTTTATTTTTATTTTTATTTTTATTTTTATTTTTATTTTTATTTTTATTTTTATTTTTATTTTTATTTTTATTTTTATTTTATTTTTATTTTTATTTTTATTTTTATTTTTATTTTTATTTTTATTTTTATTTTTATTTTTATTTTTATTTTTATTTTTATTTTTATTTTTATTTTTATTTTTATTTTTATTTTTATTTTTATTTTTATTAGTATTAGTATTAGTATGTAGTTTGATTGGTCGGTCGGTTGTTGGGTTTAGTGAACCCTGGGTGAGGAAGAGATGATGGATGAGGTTTGGAAGGAGGTTTGGAACTTTGAGGGTGGGTTTGAGTTTGGGGTTTGGGGATTGGTGGACTTGAAACATTGAGATATTGAGAATGAGATTGGATGGGAAATCATGGGATGCTGTTGGATGATGTTGGGTGATGTTGATGGGAAGAGAGTGGAAGGGATGGATTTGGGGGGTTGAGGGGTTGAGATTTGGATTTGGATTTGCATTTGGATAGGATAGGATAGGATAGGATAGGATAGGATAGGATAGGATAGGATAGGATAGGATAGGATAGGATAGGATAGGATAGGATAGGATAGGATAGGATAGGATAGGATAGTGATTATTGAATAACTGAATAACTGATTGAATAATTGACTGACATCGTCGTAATGTTTACATACTATCTAGGTATAGAGTTCACTATTCGTAGAGTTCACTATAAAGTATACACCTAGTATCTAGTACCCAGTACCTAGTACTCAACCTACTTACTATGTACTCATAGATACTTACTACTCATAGATAGATACATACAAATTATAAATGATATATTATAAATCGCCTCGTAATTACTTATTATCTTATCATTTCCATATCTTGATACGATATCTTCCTAGATATTTACTGTAGATGAAATATCATATATGAATGATGATTGTAAGATATGCTGCTGGTGTAATGTATATATCCTTGAACTCGCATTTTCGAAGTTTCGGATGGTTTTCTGGTATCGAGATTGTGATTGGGATGGGCGTATGGATGGGCGTATGGATGGGCGTATGGATGGGCGTATGGATGGGCGTATGGATGGATATGTGTGTGATAATCAGCGAAATCTCCGAGATGATTCAAATTTTTGGGAAGTTTGGGGTGAGGGATGGATGGATGGATGGATGGAGGGAGGGATGCGGCTCTTTTATATGGAAGAGAGGGGAGGGAGAGAGGAAGGGTTCTTTTTGGAGATTTGCTTTTAAGGTTACAGTATGAAATTTGGATGGGATGGGATGGGATGGGATGGGAAGGGATGGGATATGGAAATCGAAATAAATGCGATTTGGAGATAGATTGAATAAATACTGAAATTGGGTTTTCTGGGTAGTAGTAATTTGGTGGATATGTTGTGGATTTACAAAGTATCGACGGGTAGATATTGTAGCTTGGGAGGTAGATACTAGGTGGGTATTCATTGAAACATTGATCATTTTACATCAGTGTGATTCTTCGGGTTCTTCATCTTAATGTTGGTGATAGATGGTTGATGGATGGTTTATGGGTAGGGTTGGAGATTAAAAGATGGGAGATGGGAGATGGGAGATTGGAGATTGGGATGAGAGAGGTTGGGAGGGATGAGAGAGATTGGGAGGGATGTACTGTAATATATACCGAGGTAGGTATTAGGTAGGTAGTCATCCTTGAATTTGGGGGAGTTATGGTTGTGAGTCGCTTGAATGATTTGGTGGTGGTGGTATGGTTGTTGGTTGGATGGAATGGTTTGATATGAATAATAGATGTGAATGTGAATGTGAATGTGAATATAAATATAAATATAAATATAAATATAAATATAAATATAAATATAAATATAAATAAATATAAATAAATATAGATAAATATAAATGACCTTTTTATTTTTACCTTGTAGATATTGAAGGACTACTGCATAGGATACCTAGTAGGTATTCAAGGTATTCAAGTCAAGGTCATAGATTCTAGATTGGTCTTAACCTTGAATAATATACCTAGTAGGTGATGAATTTATTATCACAAGATATAAGTTATATGTACGAGTATACTAGGGATATTTTTAGATGAATACCTAGGTAGATAGATATACTTGGATATAAACCAAATAGAAATGTTACCTAGATAGATAGATATTGAATAATGTATACACATGATTCGAATATCGAATAGAATTAACGTGATAAGAATACCTAATACTATCTGCTCAATACCAACAAGGTACCTAAGCAATGCACATTTCTTTCTTCTCTCTTTCTTTCTTCTCTCTTTCTTTCTTCTCTCTTCTCTTTCTC